ATTATTATTATTATTATTATTATTATCATTACTGTTGTTCTCAATATTCTATTCTTATTCTCAATATTCTTATTAATTATTATATACTATTTATTTATTTGCTGAGTTGCGAATGCACTCAGATTGTCTTTATTCTTTACTTAGTTAATTATTATTATTTATTAATAATAAAAAATAATACATTTAAGTGTCAGATTCAAACGAGATTCGTGCCACTTCATCGACACAACTGAACAGTGATACGGTTATCAGTGGTGTTAATATTAATAATAAATATAATACAAATGATATTTATAATCAATTAACAACTCTGTCATCACAACCACAACATTCATTGAATTATGTTAACGCGAATCATTTAAATCATTCTGAAGGTTATCTCTTATTATTGTTATGATATATATATATATATATATATTTCAAGGTTTATTATTATCGTTATCAGCGTGTTCAACAGCAACAAGTAATAATAATAACGAACAAACACAACAAGTTGATATGGATACATATCCAGTTACACAAAATATTAATGCTGCGTTAGTTGTTTATTTATTTATTTATTATTATAATATTTAACCATAAGGCAATATTATGTGACCTTACCTTGACTAATCTGTTTATTATTACGTGTTTATATTTGTAATTATATGTAACAGTGGTAATGATAATAACAGTAATAATAATAATTATAATAACATCAGTGAAAACGGCTAAAGTGAAGTGTTGTTTGTATGAAATAAAATAAAATTGAGATTGAATGGGTGGGAGGATGGATTCGTATTTTGTTATATATAAGAAAGACTTTTGGTAGTCTTGGTTACCATTATTTGTTATTACTATGTAAACGGTATGACCTTATATAGCTTATATTGTAACTTAGTAACAGTTTTATGATAAATTGGCGAATGATTATTATTATTATTATTATTATTATTACGTTATATTATCATGGCTGACAGGTGTTTAATAGACCGATGAATATTGCTTTGATGGTGATGATAATTATATGCCGATACGCATGTTACACCTGCTTTTTTAATAGCCGTAATTAAATGCTATTATTAGTATTATTATTATTATTGTTATTATTTTTCATTTTTTATAATTTTTTAAAATTAATCATTTCAGCAATGCAACGTATGTTTATACGAGTGATTATCCTGCATATTATCAAGTTTGTTTCGTTATTTTTGAATTCATTTTTATTTGTAACATTAGTAATGTTATTATTATTGTGTTATTTTAAGATATAGTTTCATAATTATTAATAATATTTTATTAAATGCAGTACCAACCAATATTAACGACAACATCATCACCCAATCAGACCACTCAGCCATCAGTAATAAATAATAATTCAACCTATATAATTCAACAAACGCAACAGAATTCACCATCTTCCATTGATGATGATAATAATACACAGTTGGCACATACCACTCGGGCATCTCCTGCCACGGTTATTTTCATTACTTATTATTATTATTACTATTATTGTTGTTTTTATTAACATTTATATCTTTCATCATTTATTACTTTTTACAACTGTTTATTGTTATCATTATTTTTTCACTACTATTCACTACGGTAGGTTATATATATGTACGTATGTATGTGTATGTAATAATAATGCTGAGTGTTTATTGGTGGATATTGCTTAGCATCAGTAGAGAATAGCTTGGGTGGGGTGGGTATCTGTGGTGAGAGAAGAAGGATTTATCTGAAGGAGAAGAGGTTTACAGAGAAAGAGACTATCGGATTGCATCAATGAATTGCAGAGTTAGAAAGAAGAGAGAGGGACAGAGAGATGAATTGATATGTTTGATGAGAGAGTGAGGTTAATAATAGTAATAATACCTTTAATAGTTAATAATAGTAATATTAATAATAGTAATAATATAACAATAATAATAGTAAGTGATACAATTCAGATACAATGGTTAATAAATAATTACGAACCAGCCGATGGGACTTCACTACCGCGATGTACTCTGTACAGTCATTACATCAAGTTGGTTCATTATTATTAATTATATAAATATGTATTTATGTGATAAGAAAATAAATTAAAGACACTGCAACGAGAATAAATTGGAACCGGTGAATGCAGCTTCGTTTGGGAAATTGATTCGGTCGGTATTTCATGGGTTGAGAACAAGGCGACTGGGTACTAGAGGCAACTCGAAATATCATTATTATGGGATTAGAATCAAGGCGGATTCGGTTCTGAACAGAGCGAATTGTTTTGCGAGTAATAATGTGAATTATGCGACAAATAACAACCATGCGCATTTGTTCGTTGTTTTGCTTATCATTATTTCAGTTTCAGTTCATTCTCGTAAAATCTCTGTTAATTTAATTTATTCTTATTTCAAGTATTTTTAAATCACACTTTCAATAATAATAATAATAACATTATGCAAAGGTCAACTCGTCGTACAACAATGACATCAGCAGCAGTTCATTTGAATAATAGTAATAATAATAATAGTAGCACTAAGACGTCGACAATAAATGCAGAAACAGCTATATCCACTGTGATCGATTCAAATATAGAGAACGCTCAACCTACTAATTCCAGCCACTCGTCTCAGTTCGTTTTATTATACAGTATCATTATTTATTTTCATTGTATAATATTTATTTTTAATATTATTCATTTTTGTCATATGCATCATTAATTGAAGACGACTGTTAATTAAAGAATTTCATATTTTATGCGAATTTTGAGTTAAAAGTAGTGAATTAGTTATATACAAATGAATATAAGTTAATACATTTTGAAGAAATATCTCATCACCCATATACATATCGTCATCGAATAATAATAACCGCACAGACGACTCTCCAAATGCAACTTCTTTCCAACCATATAATAATAACACCAATAATAATAATAATAATCAAAATCGACGTTCAATTTCCAATTCGTCATCAAATGCAGATACGTCATGTCATATTGGTATGTTGTTTGTTAATTAATTGAATGTTCTACTTAATTAATTATATTATGTAATGATAATAATAATGAATGATAATAATAAAAATAATAATAACAATACTAATAGAAATCGATCGTGAAGCTTTGGGATGTGGCGAAGTGCCGCAGGTAACATTACCGGATATGCACGCATTGTGTGATTATTTAGAGCCGTTGGGCCTGCATGTGCAGCACGCGATCACCTTCATTCACGCTTATAATGACAATTGTGCTGTTAGTTTTTTATTTATCCATTATTATGCCACTTATTTTTACTATCTTTATGTTTGTTCATTGTCATTATTATTATTATTATTGTCATTATATTATTACTTTTATTAAGCTTTTAACCGTTGCTGCTGCTGCGGAAGCTTACGAGGCTATGTTTTGTTATAATGCAGTGTGGTCAGAGACAGTGTAATTGTATTAATTTAGGAAGTATTACAATGTATAAAACAATTACAATTTGATGCAGTAGAAGGGTGTTGGTTATCGTTTTGGCAGTGTGATGGCGGCAGTAGTGAGGAGTTGGCTGGTAGTGATATTGACAGTGATAACAACGACAACGAATTAGTGCCACTGGCTGCGAATGATGCTGCTGCTGCTGGGTTCGTCAGTTATTTTTGGTTTGGTTTGGTTTGAGATGAATATATTTATTACAGCAGCAGCAACAGCAGCAACAACAACACCAGCAGCAGCAGCAGCAGCGGCAGCACTCATCACCCGAAACCAGCATCACTTAGTCAACAGCAGTTGTTCAGTCTGTGCACCATACCATTGATTCATAACTTCATTCAGAATATGGACTTTGCATTTTATCAAGTCATTGTCGATGTACTTATACCTGATGTGTTAGCATCGAATATGTCTAGTTTGTTATTTTTATCATTTATTATCATTTCGTTTTATAATATTAATAATAGTAATAACAATAATAATAGTAATAATAGTAATAATAATAATAATAATAATAATAAATTGAGGTCAATTAACAGTACAAATTCGTAACTTTGCGAAGCAGTTGGAAGGATTGATGCGTAAAGTGTTGGTGGCAGCACCGGATAAAGTAGTGCAGTTAAAAGTGGGCACGGTTCGATTGTTATCGTCAACATTGCGCAGATACACATCTCTGAATCATCTTGCCTCTGCAGCGAGAGGCGTTTTACAGCGGGTTGAGCAAACACAACAGATGTATGTCGACTTTACTCGACTCGATGTGATGAATATTCATGATCAGGCCGGGTAAGTATTATTATTTTTTTAATTATTATTATTACTATTGTCATTATTATTGTTTCAATTTTTATTACAGATGGGTATGTGATTGCGATGCAGTGCTCGTGTCGAATTTACAAACGGATTTTCGTGAGAATCTTCAGAAGCAGAAAAGTTTGGAACAATGGGCCGATTGGATGGAAGCCGTTGTTGATCAGGTTTGTTTAATTTCACGGTCAATTCTTGTTATTATTTATTATTACTGTTAATATGTGTGGCGCCTGATAACGAATAACGTTGAGGTATTGGCGAAGTGTCACGATAAACCGCTGAATGTGTTGGCAGACGTTGCGAAGCAGTTTTTAAAGAATTGGTCATTCTATAGGTATATTTTTTGAACTTTATAGTAACAATGGTAATAGTAGTAGGGAATATGAATAATGTAAAATAAAATACAGTTCCATGATAATCCGTGATCTAACGTTACGATCCGCGCAATCGTTTGGATCGTTTCACTTGATTCGGCTGCTTTACGACGAATATCTGCTGTATCTGGTCGAGTTGAAACTCGCGAAAAGGGCCAATAAACCAGTTTTATCAATAATGTCTCAGGTTATTTGCCATTTCTGACTAATATCATATCCACGCTCTTATATTTCCTGGTCTTATGCTACTTATGATGGATTTTTCCGGGATTAGAAACGGTAATTTTTTGCAAAAAACTTACCCGCTTTTATCATTTCTGTATAATCGTTCTTAACAGTTAACTTTGAAATAAACATTTGTTTATTTCAGACCACTGATATAAATTTAACCTCAGTTTCCTATCCACGTCATATTAATAATAATACAACAACAACAACACTAAATATTGTTTATTTAAATGAGATGACGTCGAATAATAATGATAGTGGGAATTATATGGATGAAACGGATAGTAGTAATCATAATAATAATGACAATAACAATAATGATAATGCCTCAGATCATTTACGAAACACACCGCAGCACATTGTTGATAATAGTGGTTTGTATTCATGTTATTATCATTATTTTTTACTATTCTTATTATTGTCATTATATCATATTACAGATATAATTTTAGAAGAAATAAAAAGTGACAATTCAAATGGAATAACGAAACAACTCGGCATTATTTAGTAAAATTGATCATATTCATTAAAAGTAATAATCATTGTTTTTATTTTAACACTTCTCAACTGGTTATTACAATATACGGAGGAGTCAGATTTTAAGATGAATCATCTTAAATGGAGTATTGCATGTAGAATTATTTATTGTATAATGATTATTGTATAATAATTATTTTTATAATAATAATAATTATTATTATTTTGAGTAGTGTCATGATGGTTATTTTGCCTGCGTGATTGATCTCATCGATCCTTTGATCTCATTGTTAAGCTGATCATCCGAATGATATTATTGTATTTGATGGTATACACATTACGAATGTGTTTCATAAATAAAAAATTTTTTCGTTTTTGCGTTTGCGTTCATTGCATAAATATTTATGATTGTTCCTTTGTTTGTAACAATCTAATATCGTTGCCTTAACTTAGTGATTCGAATGAAGTGAATTATTTCGTGTTTTAATCATTAACTTCATAAAACGGCATTAGTAAGTTGTGTGCTTCGAGAATAAAAACAATTATTATTGTTGCTATTGTTATTAATAATAATGATATTATTATAGTTATTATCGTTGTTACAGAATTTAGTTCTATTGAATACATCGATTCAAGGTGAATGAATTGGTTTTGGAGTGTGCAGCAACGATCTGTCAGATATGTGTCTGGTATGGCGAGGAGGAACAAATTTTATAAAGTATTCTTACTGTTATCTTTATTATTATTATTATTATTGATGAAATTAGTGTTGGTTGTGCATAAAAGAAATAGAGAATTTAGAATGAACTTACTCATTGAGAATATGAGCTAATTAACTAGCTCTTTTAAAAAAATTTAAGACAGCAACGGTACGACGTGAGCCTATAGCAGTTGCAAGTGATGAAAATAAAAACAATGAATATTATTACAATATTTATTTGGATGGACGATTGTTGAAAACGCCACGAGGTAATCAACTAAATGTTAGTATCATTCGTGTAACATTATTGTGTTTAAAGTTAATACTATTTCATTATTTTTACGTTACTATTCATAGAAAGCAAAATTTCACATAGATATGCAGGCCGGGTAATTATGTTACTCGAAAAATGCCAAATTTGTGTATTTAACCAACCATACTAAAACATTATTACAAAGTCTTATCAAAAAAGAGTAATTTGAAGGTGAACTCGGAAGCATTAGCTCTGTTAATTGCAAACGAATGGAATACACAAAAGAATGTACTGGATATAAATTGTATGCGATTATGTGGATTGCAGTTCACTGCGATTGATAATCCTCTCAATGTGCAAAGGTTTTATTTATATTAATTATTGTTTTATTCATATTAACTGTTGACTAAGGAGCGCATCGTTGTGTGTTTTCTGGTTTATTTGATGATCTATGTATTCGATGTTGTTTGTTTATAATGTAATAGTAGGTAGTATCACTGAGCTGCTGCTGCTTTATGTATATGATCGGTGCGGTGGTAAATAGTAAAGCCGTTCAGGGAAGAAATCATCACAAAACTATTACAATATGTACAAACCGATACCATTTTATATCGATGTGATGATAATCAAAAATTGAATTTACTACAAACTGCCGCGTGGGATCCCATTTTGCATTGGGCAAACGATGAATTTGGTTTGTGTTTGAGGCCGAGCTGGGACTTAACTCATGGTTGTTTATGCCTTTCTTGATTTTAATTATGCTCATTTTTATTTCTGCTACTATTACCCTTCTTCTTCTTCTTCTTCTT